ATGATACCTTGTGTCAGGATAGGGTTTAAGATACCCCCTCTGCATTGGGTAGCCAACATCCACCAGATAATACTTCCCTAAAAACTTATAAACTTTAGGTGAGCATACAAAACAAAAATCTACTTGTATTAGTAAGGAACTAACCATGCGGTGGGTGAGAAAAATTGTACTCCGGATTTCTCGTTGCAATTTTAAAAATTCTACCACCATGTGTGCTGTCCTCCCATCCAGCCAATGCAAATATAAAACACATGTTGAAATCACATACTGTCATGATATTTTGAGTTGTGGTTTTAGAACGGCCGATAAATGCAACTTTCTTGTTATCCGACACTCTAGCATGAACGTGCTTTTCATCGATTGCGCCGATGCAACCCTTTATGAATAAGTAAAATCATTTCAATATACAATCCAGTAATATTTATTTGAAGTATGAACACCTTGAAATATGGCATGTATCGACATCGTTGCGAATCTCTATTGGCCTTCTTGCAAACGTTAGATCTGTGGGTTTTATTATGGCTTGTGCTAGACTGACAAGAGAACTCAAACCAACTGAGAAATATCTGCTTATTGTTTCAGATGAGTGTTGGAAGCGTTCCATGGCTCCCCGCATTGATTCGTTTTGTGATAAAATATAAAGTGTTATGTCCAATACTTCACGGTCTGTTGTCATAGAAGATCCGTGAAGTCCATGAGATGTTTTTAGATCTAATAAGAGATCACTGAAAACATCCTTGGACATGCGGAAGATGTTTCGAAATCTCGTTGGGTGTCCTGAAATCATTTCTCTCATCCATTTGTCTACAATCTGAGATGATGTGTAACATGACTCACGGTCGACATACGTATTATAGTAATGCACTAGTATATTTATGGCTGCATTTCGCCGTCGGCGTCGGACGGAACTAACCATTATATTTGATTACAATTAAGCTCATAGATGAAATAAAACAACCACACAAATGAACTATAATTGAAAAACAAATAAATTAAACATCCTTTGGAATGAGGTAAATCAATTTCATAAAAATGACGAACAACCACAAATGAAAAAGTCTACTTTCAGGAGTAATCAGTCTAGTATCAAATCATAAACAACCACAATGTCAACTAATGAGGAGGTCAACTTCACAAGTCACGATGGTTATAATAATAGCGTATGTATTTCAGTCGTCACTATTTGCTCAGTGCTGTGAAGAAGTCTCGATGGAGAGAATCACGAAAGAGGTCTACAACAAAGTAGAAAAGATCACGATCCCGTGTAAATTCTGGATCTTCTTCAAGAAGTCCAATGACCTCATGAATCGAGGTTTTTGGAACTCTGTGAGGGGCATCATTAGATGAGTCCATTAGGTATGAGAGCTTCTCCCTCATAGATGCAGGTTCACTCTTTCTCTTGCTTTAGTTTCGGGGGCGCTTCACACGGTTGGTGGATTGAATTTCAGGTTGCTCAACATTGCGGAATTCTGCAGAATCATTTGACAATTCCACGACCACATTCTGGGGGGTTGTTTAAAAAACTGTTTGGCTAGGGGCAGCTGAAAATTTCCCTGGAGCTACCACCCCACCAAACATCATTTGTAACTTGCCCTCCAATTCTGGTTCAATCTCAGCCAATCTGAACTTCTTTGCCGCAGGAACAATCTGTAAAATAGAATGAAAGGTGATTAGAAATCAAAAATAGAACTTATTAAAATTAAAAAGAATTACTCAATAATATCTTACCGCAAGCATTTCTTGCCACCATTCCTCTGACGCCTCAATTGTTCTATTCACCGGTTCCCATCCTAATCCAGTGGAGCCACGCTTCAAATCACTCCACAGTTTTCAATCTTTCTTAAGCTGGTCCCATTTCTTCAATTGGAGTCTATCATATTCTCTACGTGTCATCTCCTTGAATTTGCTAACGATGTTATCCCAAACTTTTTTTATTGAAAAATGTTGTTGGTCTATTTTCCTTATCAATTTCACATATGCATAGGTCACAGAATATTAATTTGGTGTTCTTCTCCCAAAGTGCATGAGTGACAACCTTTTAGTTTTTATTAGTCATGCTAATAATGCCACCAAAAAATAACATTCAACATGAATTAATATAACAAATTTAAATATTGCTAAACAAATGAAAGAATGGATATAAACACGTTGCAAACTATAAATCAAACAAGAAATGTAAATATAAGGGAACACAGGAATTTACGTGGTTCAGTCAACTGACCTACGTCTACGGGAAACGAATGCAATATTTTATTGAAATACTAGCTGAAATTTTTTAAGCATATCAACAAGGACTCCTTTGTTGTACATATGCTCAACTTAAACCATGTATACAATATATAAAAGGCTCCAACATATTTAAAACCACCACAGAATTAGAAAACCCACCAGCAATATTTGACAGCTATGTTTTAACTAGGCTATGCCCCAATCCGTTTCACTATTTGGCCTATGCTCCAACATATTTAAAAAGGAAGGAAAATTTTCATGCATGCTACTCAATTCTTATGCCCCAATCCGTTTCACTCAATTCTTATGTTTCATAGCTAAAAAAATATATATTCCATTCTTTTAGCCAGTACAAGACAGGGCCAATGTTTTACTTTGAAACACTTGTTAAAATTTTTCTAAGCTTCAAAAAGGATTCGTTTGTTATTGTTGTTCATGCACTGTCCATGGCAGAGAAACATATGTGAGGTTATTGAAGACATCTATTTTTTTTGGATTACTGTAAAACATAACAGAAATCTTAAATCGAGTGGCATGTGACTCCATAAACAAGAAGTTTATTGCAAGGAAATGCCCATGTTAACCTGACACCAATTGCCCAAAAAGTCAGTGTCTTATCCTCATAACTTCCACAAATGTAATGTCTCTCAGAGCAAAACATCAGTGAATCAACCACTACCTTAGATGGAATAAACAAGAATGACTCAAACGGGAAGGGAAAGCAAAGGCAAAACCCTAGTGAAGCAACCTGTAAAAAACGAAACAGGTTCCATGCGCTAATGTACAAATCCACCACATCTTTAGAAGGAATAAACAAAAAATCGCAGAAACGGGAAGGAGATAAGAAGGAGAAAACATCACATTCGAAAAAATTCATAAGCTCCCTCATATTTGCGATTAGAAGAAAAAAATTGCTCGTTATACCTTAGATCTGTCGATCAAGGGGCTACAAAGCAAGACGACGAAGGAGAGCCGCGAGGGAAGCAGTTAGGGTAGAAGAGAAACGAAATGGGTTAAGTGGATAAAGCGGGGCCGCGGGGTTAATGCCGTGGCCCGCTTTCTCTTAGCTTTGCGAAAGTTTTGCCGCAAAGTTACGAACCAAACGACGGACCGGAATACGGGACGAAGCGGCTGACGCACACAGCGCCGCGCCAAAAAAGTCGAACCAAATGGGCCCTTAGCTGCATCTCATCAAGTGCTTTAAACCCATTTAATCTGATCTTTTTTTTTAAATCCCATAATGAGATGGATCGAAGAGCTGATGGACAACATGACCCAATTTACACTCCTAATTGTGAAGATGGTGAACATTGGTCTCCTGAAGCATAAGGATTGTGTGGGTTTTGCTAAATTAGCTTATTGTGCGAACATAAGCTAGGGCTTCATGCAACATATATGAATGAACGTGTGAAGATAAACTTGAGTTTCATGTGAAATTCATAAATGAAAGCATTCCTTTCACTTGACTCGATAATGATGGACAGAATTTGTTTTAGATTAAGTGCCTTGGTAGCATATTTTTTTTTGAAGATTTACATGCATACCACTCAATTCATGTGTTTTTACAGATCTAACACCTAAACATCAATTTTTACTTACCTACCACCTTGCCTATGCATGAAAAGGCATATTTAACCTTTTAAAAGTTAAAATCGTGTTGTTTTTAATGTGATAGGAAAGATTTGGGTGGTATAAGGTGACTTTGAACTGTCATTTTTCTCATTACCCTGACCTTCTACCTTATTTTCAGGACTGGGATAGGCAAAATCCAACCCAGATTTTAACAGAGATGTGTGGATTTGTAACAATCCTCTCTGGTACATTTCTTCTTCACAAAACCAAGGACTTATCTGATGGTATGCCCCGCAGAATTTGTTTTTTCTTACAGAATCAACCTCTTTGTTTATAAACTCTGTAGGAATTTAATAAATAACATAATCACCAACAGGCATTGTTGCATCATCCTTACCCGTTCGCCTTCCTAAGCATCTAGATGAGGATTCATTTGCCTCAGAAGGGATTCCTCTCACACGCCAGAACAATTTATGAGATCTACTGATGTTGTGATTCAAAAGCTTACCCACCCAGGCTGCAGAGCTCTTAAAATCCTGATTGAACGAGTACTGGGACATTATTTCTGTAAGTGATGGAAGGGTAAAAATGTGTTCTTTGGCTCCATAACTTGAGAAAGTTTGGCTTCCATCTGCGGCGGAAATATCGGTGAATATGTGGATTGGGTATTCTTTGCATTTCTCTTTGATAAGCAGCAGCCAGCGTCCATGTATCTACCTTGGAAATATTCTTTAGGGTAAATCATTCTTTGTGCTTTTTGGCTTCCACCATATTGTAACATGAGACACAGCACAGCAACTCATATTGTGTTTTGTTTCATTTTTTTTCAATAATTGGGATTGAAGGGATGTTATTCTATAGCAATAAGATACTCTGTTGTTTTATATTTTTATGCTATATTTTTATGCATGTCATGCATAAAATTTGACATTTATATTTATAACATTTGGTATCATAAACTTATGTATGAAAAGATATATTTTATTTTTAAAAGAAAATAGTGATATTTTTTATGTAATTTTAAATATTTAATTGTTAATGCATGTGAATATGAAAATTTTGGTGTTGGACATGTGAATATACAAGAATTGAGTTGTATTTTATTGGCTCTTCTCCGACTTAGGTAGAGTGAAGTCTATCCTCTCTAAAGATTTACTTGGTAAGTTGAAGTGGCTACTTTACTTCATTGCCTCAAATCTTAGATATTTATATGTCTAACACTTAAAATTTTATAATTATATTTATAACATTTTAATGTTATCAACCTATACATGTATTTACCTATAAAAAATTGATGATTGTGATATTTTTTATGCAATGTCAAAAATTTGAGCGTAAATATGAAATTTTAAGTGTTAGATATGTAAATATTCATGTAATTACCGCAAAGGAGGTTATGTGCTTTTCTTCTTAGTCTTTGACAAATTCCCATGCCCCTAGTCTTGCATTTCTAAGGGAGAGTATTAGAATCTATCAAATCCTGCATTTCTGAGCTTCAAGTGTGGAGGACCATTCCCGATGGTTTATTGTCTGACTGAAGTGGTAGTGGGATTCTTCCTTGGCCAATTGCCTTTCTCATGTAAGCGGAAAGTGCCTTTATCAAGGCAGACCTGCATCATCGTTCGCAACAAGTCAAGCTTAGCCGCCTTCCCTTTCAGTCTGCATCGGTCTGTAATCTTCCACTTCAAAAAAGGATTTGGCAAACCAAGGTTTGCACCCTGGAATTGAAAAGAAAAAAAAGAGAATGATATCCTCTGTAGAAAAATTCTGGACCGAATGATTCCTTACCCTGCTCCTTGATCTGTTGAAATGGGATTCACCGATCTGACTCTTTGATGGGTCCGCTTAGATCAGAGAATTTTCTTTTTGGCATACTGAAGCTTGAACCACTCGAGTAGTTCCGCTTACTGCCTTTTGACCGAGAAATTTCATTTCTTCACCTGTGAATAAGGCTTCGAACACTTGGACCAAAATTGAGAAGTCTGGCATTCCCGACCCACCAAGCGAAACCGGTCAGCTACCGCTTAGAGTCTCTCAGATTCGCTTGCTTCTCTTACCTTATATTTCACTCGGCGAAACCACAGAACAAGATTCACTTTGATTCTTTCATAAAAACAAATTATTCTACAGAACCTAACTAAAATCTTACATTTTATTATACCGTCTCAAAATTTTGGCAGAAAAATAATCAAAACAATAAGATTTTTCCTCATGTTTGAAAAATAAAAAATAAGTAGAAGAATAGACACAAAATCGAAGCAGCTTAGCTCATATTATAATTTAAAAAATAATTAAAAAAAATTCCTCATCAAATTGAATTCATGATTGTAATGTTGATCTAAACTACAAAAGGAAGCTGCAGCAAAGCCATATCTTTAAAAGGTGAGATCCTTCGGATCCTCAATAATTTTAGCTAGGGTTTGCATGAAGGCAGCAAGGTCAGCACCATATATAACACGATGATCTGCTGTAGCATTCACCTGAATTTATGTATAAATAAAACATAGATTCATATTTAGACATGAAAAAAGGGTCATTAACATACGTACATACCACCCAATTCCTATGTATTAACATATATAACACCTAAACTTTTGCTTTTTACATTTATACCACCCAAATCTTTCATATCACAAGAAATATCAGTATTTATATAAGTAAAAAATTGAAGTTATACCACCCAAATCTTTCATATCACAAAAAATATCAGTATTTTAACTTTTAAAGAGTGAAATGCATAGGTAAGGTGACATACAAGTAAAAAATTGAAGTCTAGATGTTAGATATGAAATATATAAGAATTGAGTGGTATGTATATAAATATTATTGAAAAAAATAGTTCATGAGTTTATGCAAGCAAATAGGGTTATCTACCTGCATCTGATTTTTTACACCAATCCTACCATCCTTCGTAGCTACTACTGTAGGCTGTGAAGCACCAACGGCCATGATTGCCCCCTGAAGTGTGTCGAGATTGGTTTTAAGATGAGAGGTTTGAAGATTGGAGTAGAAAGAGGAGAAAGCACTTACAGTTCCTGGAGGCAGGATTGCATCAAAGCGATCAACGCCAAACATTCCAAGATTTGAAAGGGTAAATGTGCCTGAAAATTGAACAAGGATGGTATGTATGTAATTTAAGCGGTTTCTATTTTTTTTATAAATATATTTCTATATAAAAAAAAAAAGTTTTAAATCATTGTAATGTAATTGCTCCAATTATCATGTCTTGTCACAACTATTTGTTCTCTTGTTGAACCCTCATTGTCCAGTTAATTCTTGTTGATAAATCAATGGGGGTGTTAATTTTGATTTGCATAAATATTTTCATATATTTTCAATTGAGATTATCATCAGCAACAGCAATCTTATCACCATTATTGGGGTTCAAATTTATGAATCCCTTGTCCTTGATTTATCCTGTCAAGTGTGGCATGGATGCCAGCATTTATTTGCACAAATGTTTCTATACAACTTATAACTATGCTATATTTGATATACCCATTTCCATTATAATCCTTACATGTTAATTTTAAGGAAATTTTACATAGATTCCATACAGTTTCTCAAGTATTTACATATCTAACACCTATACTTTCATATTTACATTCATCATATTTTTATGTCATAAAACTATGCATAACGAAAGGACGAATTTCACTTTTAAAAAAGTAATGGCTATATTTTTAAATTTAATGTTAAAGATTTGAGTGCTATGCACGTGTAAATACATATGACTTGTGTGATATATATGTAAATGCCCCTAATTTTATTTATCCATCTTATTTCCACAACTTCTGCCACTATTTAGTGTATGTACAAACAACTTATGCATATTTTTATTACCTTATTTCATCAATACAATTAAAATCATATTTCTTTCTAGGTTTCTTCTTGAGAGGAAGCCTAAAGCATATTGCCCCTCACCGAATGGTTTGACTTCTGTCGGATGGGTGGTTCTCTCAATTTTTTTTTTTAAAGGAATGGATTAATTTTTAGGAATGAGAAGCTCAAGAGATTCTTGACATCTTGAGAGGATGAAAATGAGGAAAAACGACAGCATGATTTTTCAGAGAGAGAGAAAAAAATGCAAGGGGTGAGAAAAGAAGAGATTCAGTCAAGGTTTAGGTTTAGCATTCAACTTTGTTGCATGCTAAAAGTCAAGTTAAGAGAGAGAAAGAGAGAGAGAGAGAGAGAGAGACCAATTACCTTACTTACAAACTTACATATGATCAGATAACGTAAAGACTGAAGGGAATAAGATTGTTTATATGAAAAATCAAGTAAGAAGAAAACCAAGGACCTTGCCCAGTTGAAATACTTTCTACCTTACGTAAATATTGATTTCAGAAGTGCCATCCCATCCCAAAACTAGGTGGATGCATTAAAACAAAAAATAAAAAATTGGGTTTTATATCTTTAGTGATGGCAATACAAGAAGGTCGGAATGCAGAACTTCTTGAAGCTAGAAAACAACATGGCAAATACAGTCATGGGCGCAGTTGAGGGGGACTGAGACAGCTCTTTTGTCTAAGGTGGAGGTGGAAAACAAAGCAATGCAGAAAAGACAGGTGATTGAGGATGATCGAGGTGATCCTCTTGGAGGCAAATACGACATAACTTGAAGGTAGCAAACCAATCCATTAAGGAAGTTTGTTGGTGCACCATAGGTGATTGACAAGAATTTTAGGTGATGGTTAGAGTTCTAGAGTTCTCCTATGATCCATAAGTTTAAAATTTCACAAGTACTTTGAATGATGTTTACTTGTAAATTTTGATAGAGGTATTCATATTAAAATATTCCTCATATTTATCAACAACAAATGATGTAGATCACACTATTCCGTAATAAAAAATGTGATTGGATCAACATGACTCTAAGTTGGCTTAGCTGGCCTCCACAAGGGTTGTGGACGATCCAACAATGCTCAGGCTGTGGTTCCAACTGATGATATCTATGATTGACTGATCAAATATATACCCTTTTGAATATATTCATGCGACAAGTCCAACAAAAGCAACAAAGCAAAATTATAGCAGTTAGATTGACGAGAATAATTCTAAGAAACTTCATCACGAATGGCTTATAAAATGAATGCGTGGTTTCCAGAGCTTTAAAAACTCGAATCTTATAAGATGAACTGCACAATACGTCAACGTGATCAAACAGCACAAGCATATTATTCTAACACCATTTGACTGCCGGCCATCAATCAAAACCACATTCTTCTCCATAGCGTGCAACAATGGCACACACGATGGCTATGAGTTTAGATTTGGCCAATTTGAGCACACTTTGTGCTTGGATCAATATTTTTGTAGATTTGTTGGATTTGCAGCGACTAGACAACCCGTTTTTCAATGTTTTTGGTCATTTTTAGCTCGACCCAATTTAGTAGTCAAAGCAGTATCATTTGCTCTAAAATTCATGCCATGTGCTCGAATTTGTGCTTGATTTTTTTTGCCCAACAAACATGATTTCTAGAGCTACTCATTGCTTCTTGCAATACAACTTCTCACCATTGGCATAGTTTCTTCTAAGAGGACATGGAGAGCATTGATCCTTCATTAAAATTATTAATCCACTCTAGTATTTGTTATATTTCTAAACATTATTTTGGATAAGGTTTCATGGGCCTTCTCTCTAACTTGTCTATTGGTTTTCCCCTGCAATAATATTTTACAAAAGAAATCAAGGTATGTTGAAATCTGTTGGCGCTTTAGCCAGCCTAAGTTTAGCCTAAGGGCAAATTTGTCTTTTGTATGCCTAAGGGCAATTTAATTTTATATTATTATTGTTGTTGGGTATAAATAGGCTTGTTATGTCTAGGGTTAGATTTATGCATGAGATTGAGTTGAGAGTCTTGGGTCTAAAGTTTGGGAGAGATTTTCAACCTCAAACTGTAGGAATTGGGAGAGATCGCTTACCTCTCAATATGTTGGTGTTTATATTTGTACTCTTGTTGAGTTGTTTGATTTATTAATAAAATTGATGTTTGTCCAAATTTTTGTGGAAAAGAATGCCGATTTTAAGGTCGGATCAAATCAAATTGGTATTAGAGCTCAAAATTTTGTGAAGTAGGCGTTGATTTCAGAACAGAACTGATTCAAGATTTGAACCCTTCGCTTACAATTGCGTGCAAGGCAAGACCCAAAACATGTCTTTGCGTGCAGTCGCTTGCAAGGCGAAGCGAAGGATTTCGGCTTTACTGAGAATTGAAACTCACGTTGGGTCGCATGTAAGGGGACATGAAGCATTGCAGCTTATCAAGACGTAAAGGATCAAGTGCAAGGCGACATGCTGGAACACTGCGTACAAAGACCCAAAACTCCATCTTTCGCATCCTTCCGCTCCGTCTACGCGATACAGTGGCGGTCAGAGCTGCGGGGAAGGCGAAGACGTGACCCAAGCGATACAGTTGTGATCATTGCTTGCTGATAAGGCAACAATGAGCTCGCGGCTTAAAGAAGAAGGCAACGACGGATTCAAGCCTTCGTTGGCCCGCAATCACATAACATTGCGATACAGTCACGATCAGAGCTTGCTGAGAAGGCTACCTGTCGCCTTCATGACTGAACCCTGTGATACAGTCGTAATAAAAATTTGCGGGGAAAGTGATGATGAAATCTTATCACGCTGTGACATAAGGCCGACTATAAGACAATGGTTCGAGCTACCTGGAAAACATAAGGGATTCAGACTTACATTAATCTCTGTCTCACTGAACAATGTGAAATAGATTCGATCAAATTAGAACTAGTGAGGAAGGCAAAAACGGGATCAGGCGTGCCCTAATTGTGATCCTAGAAGTCAAGGGCCGGATCCGGAATCGAGCGTGCTCTAGTGATAGAAAATAATGGCAGCCAAGAAAGTACATGATTTGAAAAAGAAGTTAGGAAGAGAAATGCGTCAAATCAGATATGGGATGGGAGAAAGGTTTGCAACCATAGATGATAGATTCTCTTCTATGGAGAATTGACTGGTGGATCTATTTGAGAGCATGAGACAAATTCAAAACATGATAAAAAGGCTCGCCGAGATGCAATCCAAGACCCCGCTGAATGTTCAATTTGCAAACCCTAACCAAAGTTTGACTGGAGAATCGGTGGCAAGATCGAACGGAAAAGAGATCCAACGCGAGAAACATGATGAGAAAAACATCCACCATCCTGAAACCCCTCGTAGGGCTCTGATTGGGGGTGAATTAGATAATTCTGATGGAATCGGATGGGCCAAAGCATGGAGAAGAGATTATGCAAGAGGTATGGAAGAACACGAAGAAGAAAGGATTGAAGCCAAGATGGGATATGACTACGATCGAATGAGGAAGTTTTACCCTTGATACATAGGGAAAACAATGGAGGAAGAGGAAGCTGGGGAGGAGATGTTAGAGTTAGGAAGTTGAAAAAGCTAATCTTAGAAGCAGAAGATGCAAATGAGTGAGTGTATCGGGCAAAGCGATACTTTGCGATGAATGGACTAAATGGGGAAAGAAGCAGAAGATGCAAATGAGTGAGTGTATCGGGCGAAGCGATACTTTGCGATGAATGGACTAAATGGGGAAGAGACTCATGACACCAGGTTTATGTTTGGAAGAGAAAGCTCTAGCCTGGTATCAGTGGAAGGGGGCTAGAAACGCGATTCATAGGAGGAATTCAAGAATTATTTGTTGGAACGTTTCTGAGCAATTCAGGAAGGAGATTTACACGAGAAAATCTATGTTTTGACACAGGAGGGGGGACTATCAAAGAATACAAGGAGAGATTTGAGCTATTTTCGGGATGGCTGAGGAGAATTTTTGAGTCAGGATTGAAGAAAAATTTCATGAAGAGCCTAAAGCCCAAAATATGAGTATCACTCCGGCTATTCAGACCACAGAGATTGAGAGAGATGATGGAGTTTTAGCTTAAATAGTAGGCGACGAATCAGATGAAGAAGGCCAGCAGGAGTAACACAGATGAAACGTCATACCGAAATGCTACAACCACGATGATACCAAAAGCTCAAACAATGGAAGTCCAGAAGAAGACTGCATGGGACATGAATAATGTACCACAACCAGGAGCAACACTCAATCTCTGTCTCAATCTGATAAGCAATGGA